GCTGGTTTTCCTTGCTGGGCTGAGAAAGCTCCCTGGGCCAGCCTTTGCTCTGGAAGGTGTGGGTGTGTCCACCAGTGCTGCGACGGTTCTCTCCTGAGCATGGAGATTGATAGCGGCCAATGAGTCTGCTCCGACTCACAGTGACCTTACGAACAACAGAACAAAACACGGTCCAGTCCACCCGTCCTCACTGTCACCAGCGTGGCCAAGGCCAGTGTCATGGTTATGGTGCTGATCCTCCCACTGACTGACTAGTGACTCTCCTTCAGGCTAAGGCCTGCCTTGGGTGCATTGTGTCTGATGACCAAGGATTGGGAATCCATACACGGCTGGAGCCAGGCCCTGGAGAGAGAAAAACACGTGAGCTCAGAAAACAGAGGACCAGCACCAAGGCCGGCCCATCGGGGCAGCCCCAGGCATCACAGAGCTGCAGAGCCTTGGGGTCAAACCCTGGTGTGAACCCAGCTCTCCACTCTGGCCATGGGTCTGAAGCAGGTAGCCTGACCTCCTTGCTCCAGCGGCCTCCACAGGCCATGGGGCTGACTTCTTCTCAGGGTGTGAGGCCTCCTCAGGGCAGGCGGCCCCAAGGTGCTGACCAGTGGTGAGGACTTTCTTGGAACTCACGTGGGCCGGCCGGCCCCCATCATGGGCACCAGTGCCAGCAGAGGCTGCAGGCTGCAGAGAGGTGGGAGACGGGCAGAGCTGGGGCGGTGCTGGGGGTCTGTGTCTTGCGTCTGGAATTCAGCCCTCGGCACCAGGCCCTGCAGAATCGGGCCCAGGCTGGGCCCAAGCAGGGTCCCCCAGCACCCGAGGCCCCAGGCCCAACTGGCCAGAGATTCGCAGCAGCCTGTCCAGCCGGGTGTGACTATGGCTGGGCCTCGGGGTGCCTGAGGCTATCCACCTCCAAGCCATTTGTATCCTCATCGGAAGCATTCCTGCCCCGTCCCATCCACCTGTGACCGGTAGCACCTCGGAGGGAGAGGCTCTAGAGGAAAGCACTGCCCCCAGCATGCTTAGAGGTTCCCAGGGGCGGGAGGGAGTGGGTGAACGGTGTGGAAGAATCGCAGTGACTGGGTGGGGCTGCAGCCCACGGCTGTCACTGCTGTCGGCAAGTTGCACACCAGTAAAAGGGTGAATTGACAAAAGTTGGGCAACAGATAAATTTACAACATTGAGCAAAACAGAGCAGCCGCTGAGGCCGTGGACGTGCACCTGCTGGGAGCTGTCCCTGGTTTGGGGATGTGGGCTCCTGGCTTCATGGGGCGCCCCGTTCATTGTCCTAATGAGGTGTTTATGCTTCTGTTCTCCTCCTCGTCCCACAAGCAGGGCCTGGGCTCTCGGAAGCCTGCGGAGACGGTGCTGGCCTTTCGCTCTTTCGCCCCTGAGCAGGGCCCGGGCCCCACAGTTTCCATTTTGGAGAGCCGGCCAGCAGTTGCCCAGTGGTGTGGTTGAGACAGGTGCGGCTGCTTCAGTGCCTGGCAGCCACCTCGTTACGAGGTCTGAGTGCGGGCGGGGCACAACCCTGCAGTCCACTGCTGCTCTTCCACCCGACACCTGTGAGCAGCAGGCGGGCGGCCTGGGGGCTATGGTGAAGTGGAGCCTCATAGCTGGGGACGGTGCAGCCCGGCTGTCCACGGCCCTGTCACTCTCCACTGTCCCTCCCCTGGGGTGTTGCGGCCACCACCTCACACTCATCCCATTAGGTACAAACAGCTCCCCGCGTCCTGGCAGCGAGCTGTCCATCCAGAGGGACGAGCTATAACTCACCTTCATTCCACCCCTCTCAGGGGCACTGCCGCTGCCCGCGCTGGTGGCCTTCCCCGTCCTTCGCTGAACCTTTGCAGCTGCTCCTGCATTTCTGGAGGAGCCCAGCATCAGGCGGCAGGTCCGCGGCTCTGCTCTGGCTGAGCTCACCCACACGGTCAGTGCAGAGGCAGAAGCCCAGCCGGGCAGCACCGCGCATCCTGAGAGGCCTGGGCCGGGTCTACAGCCACTGCCCCCTCTCCTCTGCCCTCCTTTTCCTCATCCTCCCTCCCTGCTGCCCCACCCAGCGGCTCTGCCCAACTGCTGCTCCGAGTCCCTGGGGGGCTCCCACAGGTGCTGCCTGGAGGGCAGGGACCAACTCTGCTGGGGCAAGTGGGTGGGGAGGCTGCATGGTGGACAAACGGGGCCTCGGGGCCGAGTCACCGGGGAGGGGTGCAGGGTGTTGAGGCTGTGGGCCAGGAGGACTTTCTGCGAGGTTGGCTGAGGCTGGGGGCTCCCAGGAGCCCTGAAGCCTTCAGCACACCTGCTAACTGCCTCTGTCCTCACACAGGCATCACCAGTGGCCAGGCCACAGGCGACTGTGCTCATGTGGCATGGACGAGGCCCTTGTGTTATTTCCTGGCCCCCAGCCTCGGCCTCCCATCTCTTAGTACTGCCTTCTCAGGGGACTAGGAGACGCTCAGTTGTTTCGGCATCTCACCCAGCTCCAGGGACAACAGGCCGCCTTATGGGGCAGTCACCACAGCCCTGGGTCTCAGGCTGGGCAGCTGCAGGGCCACCATACGCCTCAAGGGCCTCTTCTCCTGAGCACCACACCAGGGCCCCCAAGCACATCCCAAAGGCAGCGGCCTTCTCGGCTTGCGTTGGCACAGCAGGCGGGACGCAGTGACATTTATGAGGCGGGAGCCATCTTTTATTTATTTAATCCAACCGCCGTGTGAATTATTCACCCCATTTATGTAAGTGCAGAGCTGTGAGGACAGCAGGGAGCCCGGCACAGGCTGCGTGGTGCACGGGTCCCAGCGGTCGCCCCAAGCTGGCTCAGTAAGTGAGCCTTTCCCGAGGGCGGCCCCTCACCCCAACAGAGTGGGGGCCTGCGGGAAGCGGTTCCGCTCTGCAAGCCCCACGTCCTGCCCTTGGGTGGTGAGACCCAGTCTGGTGCTGCGAGGGCCATAGTGGCCGTGTGTCTGCAGGGAGTAGGAGCACACACTGCATGAGAGGAAGTGTGTGCGGCACCCGGTGAACCTGTAGCCGTCTCCCCAGGTGGGACAGATGGCAGGCGTGTGTCTGCACAGGCACGTGCCCGACAAGCACGTACCGGGCAGGTGTGTGCCTGGCAGGCATGTATCGGGCAGACGTGTGTTAGGCAGATGTGTACCTGTGCCTGGCAGGCAGCACACTCTACCTGCTGCCCTGGCCTCGCTGAGAGTAGCTGGAGTGTGCTGTAAGGAGGCATCTCTGAGTACACCTTCCTGCTAGCAGCTCTGTTGCCACGTGGGCGGGCTGCGGGGGGCCGGGAAGCATGTTGGGGTCGCAGCTGCAACTCACCTCTCATGGTCTGATCACTCGACTAATCCTGGCCTGTGTCCCCATGGAGAGGTTCTGGGCAGGGAGAGCCAGATCCCAAGGGCATCTTGGCTGGTGATGAACAGTGGGCAGGTGGAGGAGCATGAGCCCTGTGGAGCCACACCGTCCCCGGGCTCTGTACCCCGTCCCCGGGCTCTGTACACCGTCCCCATCGTCTCACCAACACCAGGGAAGCTTGCCCCGAGTGAGAGCCCTGTGCCAGGCATCCCATCAGCTGGGGTCACGTCAAAGCCCAGAAGTGTCTCCCAGACCCTGCAGGTGGCAGGAGGCCGTGGGGCTGCTGCCGAGCCAGCTTCCCTCAGCCAGTGGTCCCTGTGCCCCAGGGCTGAGCCCGGAGCCTCTCCGTCGTTTGTAATGGGGAGAGTTGTTGTTGTTGTTGTTATGTGCCGTCGAGTCGGCCCCGACTCATAGCGACCCCTCCTTGGGTTTCCGAGGCAGTATCACTATGGAAGTAGGATTGCCCAACCTTCCTTCCGAGGAGTGGCTGGTGGGTTTGAACCGCCAGCCTTCTGGTTAGCGGTCAAGTGCTTTAGCCACTATGCTACCAGAGCTCCTAATGGGGAGAGTACTGGTACATATCTCAGGGCAGTTGTGTCTGCCTCTGGAGTTGATGTCTGTAAGGTGGAGTTGTTCTGGTTCCCTAGTGCTGCTCCGACAGGAATACACCAGAAATGGGATGGCTGAACAAACAGAAGTTTATTTTCTTATAGTTTGGGGGGCTTTAAGTCTGACTTCAAAGTGCCAGGCTCTAGGGGCTTCACCCTTGGGCTTCAGCTCTGCCTCCTGCTCCCAGCCCACTGAAGCCAGAGGCTTTTCTTCACTCAGACAGCTGCTGGCTGCTGAGGCTGACAAGCCCAAGGCTGACAAGTAAAAAGGCACAGTCCTGCTGTTACCAAACCACACAGCAGGCCATTGATTCAAGTCCATTGTAAGTCCCGAGGTTGACAAAGCATGGCAGCCTGCTGAACAACGACTCAGCTACGTGCAGGGTTCAAGGTGCCGTAAGCTGGAGACCATTCCCAAAGCTGCTGCTTATATTCGGGAAGCAGACCACATACTCAGCTGCTCCCAGTAGATTCCACCATGGAGCTGATTACCTGTCTCATCATGGTGGATACTGCATCCAGCTGCCCAGCCACTCAGCCAGGCCCAGCCAAGGTGACACACACTTCACCACCACAGGAGTCATCACACGGCCACCATTCCCCCAGCACCCATGTGACTAGACAGGACAAGTGTGCACGGCCCTCTGCTGTTTGTGTAAGGTGGTGTTGCCACACTCGCTCCTGCTGTGCCCAGTGCCCCAGAGACACCTTCCTTCCTGGATTCTGCCAGCTGGGGTCGCCACACTCGCCCCTGCTGTGCCAGCCAGGAGCAGGTCCTCAGCAGGGAGAGGGCCAGACCTGTCCTCAGAGGGATGGGGTGCAGACAGTGGCTTCATCATGGTCCCTGCCGAGGGCCACACGGTGCCTTGGCTGCCCTGGCAGGTGACACACACGTGCCAAGGGTCACTGGGTAGTGAGTGGCCCTCATACTGCCCAGCTGCCTCATCCTGTCCCTTGAGCCGCTGGCCGCTCCGTGCCCCTTCCCTCTGGTCCTCAACAGCCCTTTGCCTCCAGCCAGTCACTGAGCGCCCCCTTCTCCCCCAGAGCTGAAGAAGCAGGTGGAGAGTGCCGAGCTGAAGAACCAGCGGCTGAAGGAGGTCTTCCAGACTAAGATCCAGGAGTTCCGGAAGGTCTGCTACATGCTTACAGGCTACCAGATAGACATCACCACCGAGAGCCAGTACCGGCTGACGTCCATGTACGCCGAGCACAGGGCCGACTGCCTGCTGTTCAAGGTGAGCCCGTGCCGCGCGCCTGCTGGTAGAAGCCAGGGGGCCCTTGGCCCTGAGGAGTGACTGTGCTGGCTCAGAGCAGCCTGGAGCGGGGGCCCTGCATCTAGGGAAGAGGGAGGCCTGGCTGTTCCCCGTGTAGCATCTGAGCTCCACTGGCCTCACAGGCTGGCACTGCCCACCTGGGCACGAGCCTCTTCTGGCCCCCTTCCTCGTGCGCGTCCACCTCCTTGTAGAGCTGTCCTGCAGGCAGGGGCACACATGGGGGCACAGTTCATCCCAAGAATGCCAGCCACTGGAGGGCTGGGTCCTGCTAGAGGTCACTGTTGGGCTGGGCAGGGGTCGGGGTGCCCAGATACTGCCAAAGTGCATGGATCTGTGAACAGTAGGTAGAGACTGGCATGGGGCTGGGCTAGACAGAAGGCATAGTTGGTGGGCATGTGTGGACAAACGTGACAGAGACCTGGTCAAGGCGGGGAGGGCAGTGCTGGGCCCACGTGGGCAGGGACCGACCATCATGGCAGAGGGATACGAGGCGGGCATAGTGGCTCTGCACAGGTCCACCCACACCCACCGTGCACTGCTCCCTGGGGTCCTGCCTGCGGCCAGGGACAGTGCTGCCTTGTGGAATCGTACACTCTGGATTGGCTCTCAGGTCTGTGTGGAGATAGTGGTGAGGTGAGCAGGTGTAAGGCAGGGCTCTACCAACACCTGTCCTGCAGGTGCCAGCAGGGTGATCAGGAGACTGGCATGGGGTGGTACCGTCTGTCCCTTGAGGGCCTGCTGGACGCTTGCCCTCATCACGGGGGATCCTTGCATAGTACTCGGCTGTGTCATAAGGAGTGGGCTAGGGCCACGGGAGGCAGAGGGTGGTGCCCTCTGTGGAACATGATAGCCCTGCATTGGTGGTTCATGGTACACTTACTCAGATGTGAGCCGCCTCATAAAGCCGCCTTCTGACCCCAGCCTTGGATCTGCTAAGGGGCCCAGGTTCGCGGGGCCCAGAGTGGCCAGCGCAGGTGTGCGCGGGTGGGACAGCTGTCCGGTGCACGTGAAGGAGCCTGCCCCCAGCCAGTCCCCCAGGCCAGGGTGTGCATCTGACCCCATTCCTGTGGGCAGCCCCCACAGTCAGGCAGCACGTGCTCACAGCAGCGGCCCGTCAGGCACCTCTCGTCCCACCCTCTCCTCCTCGGCAGCGTCTCAAGCATGCTGGTGAGCCCCAGCTGCTCCCTGGAGAGCCTCAGAGTCCCGGCAGCAGGGCTTTCCGCTTTGGACAGTGAGGCAGGCAGACGGACAGCCAGCCACTCCAACAGTCTCAGGAGAGAAACCAGCAGACAGCGTGCGCTTCTTTGCTGCTGGGCAACTCAGGGTCACTGATGGGTGTTTAATTTTACACCCCAGAAACTCCATGGGGCTGTCCCTAAAGGTAGCGTCAACAGGCAGACGCGCCGCTGTTGGGAATGGTCACTGTGTCAAGTCTTGCTCGTCGTGTCAGTACTTGTGAACGGAGAGGCCCCACTTTCCCTAGATGCCTCCATGCTGATTATCAAGGTGGTAGGGCTCATGGAATCCTGCGGTGACACTCTGAGGCCACACCCCAAGCATTTCATCCTGCTGGAGCACTGAGAATGTAGAACTTTGCAGAGGAGGGAGCAGTGCCCCTAATCTCCCTCCCCCACACCACCGCTGCCTTTGATGGGCCTCGCAGGGCTTCAAGTGGCTGGGGTGCCAAAGGCCCGCCCACCTGTTGCCGTTGAGTGGGGCTGGACTCGTAGCTGCCTCACATGTGACGGAGTCGAGTCCCCGTACAGTTTTCTTGGCTGTCACCTTCCCAGCGGATCGCCAGGCCTGTCTTCTTTGGAGCCGCAGGGGGTTTGGTTAGCAGCTGAGCACAGACCGTCCGCACCTTTCAGGGCCTTAACGGAAGTGCATGGAGATAGATTAGTTCCTAGTTACAGAGCTGGGGTTGCAGGGGACGGTGGTGGTGCCCCGTTTCTGAAAGTGCACCAGCAGCAGGTGCCTCATGGCCTGCGTGGGAAGAGGGCCACGTCCGCCCCAGCCTGTATGGGGATGGGCACTGGCTGCATCACTGGTGAATGGCTGTTTCTGCCTGAGGGTCTCAGGGTTGTGGGGCACAGGAACCCCCTCACTGTAGTCGGGAGCCCCAGGCTTGCTGCCTTCCCACCCGTGGCCCCACCCACCCTCTAATCCCTGTCCTGCCCCTCAGATGCCACCCTGGCATGCTGACCATGCCCTGACCCGAGCCCCAGCAGCACCAAAGTCCAACCACCAGGTGGTAGCCCGGCTGCCCTGGGGCTGCAGGCCCCGCTCTGTGTGGTGGCCACTGAGTCAGGCTTGGCTGGATCAACCAAACACTGGCGCTTGGTGACCTGGGCTCATTTTATTTTCTCCCAAGATGATTTTCAGGCAGGAAGGGGGCTGCAGAGTTAGAAGTATGGCGGCCTGCCTCCAGGCACACAGGGTCTGCAGATGGCACTGGGATAACTGCAGGTTTGCGCTCAGCCCTACTCGGCTGTGCCCGTGGGGAAGGCGGGCTCCCCGGGCCAGCCTTGTGTTGCCAGCACGGGTGGAGGATGCTGCTGCCCGCTGGTGGCCATTCTGGGGGCAAAGGCGAGACCCTCAGCTCCAGCCCACAGGACCCTGGCTGCCTCCCCTTCCCCCAGCTGAGAGCCCACGCCACCTTCGCTTCCTCCCTCCCACCCACAGGGGAGCAGACCCCACATCTCCAGAGAGTTTGGGGAAAGGCAGTGCTGGCCCTGTGGCCTGTGCAGGTGCACAGGTCTTCAAAAGCTCCAAAGTGTGGCCAGCTCATGCCGGGAACCCTGCTCCACCTGCCTCGTTGCTCTCTCTCGGTGGCTCATGAGGGCACCCCCTCCCATCTTGTCCTCACCCGTCTGCTTCCCTCCCCTCCCACATCCAGGCCCCGAGGCTTTAGAAGGAGGAGAAGTGGGGTGGCCAGGCCCAGGCCACACGACGAATGTGCACTCTTACTGTTGCTGCTTGCCTTGGAGTGGTTCCCGCTCGTGTTGGTGCCACGTGCGCAGAGCAGAGCTGCTCTGTAGGTGTCCTTGGCTGTGACCTTGATGGAAGCAGGCTGCCAGGCCTTTCTTCCATGGTACCACGGGTGGGTTTGAACTGCCAACAGTTGAGCACAGACCGTTTGTACCACTCGTTGTTTTCAGTTGCCATTGACAGCCCTGATGGGCGTTGACCCCATATGTGTGTCGCTGTTGAGTCAGTCCTCACGGGCGTTGACCCCACGTGTGCAGAGTTGACAGTCCTGACGGGCGTTGACCCCACGTATGCATCGCCGTTGACAGTCCTGACGGGCGTTGACCCCACGTGTGCATCGCCGTTGACAGTCCTGACGGGCATTGACCCCACATGTGCATCACTGTTGACAGTCCTGACGGGCGTTGACCCCACGTGTGCAGAGTTGACCTGGGCCCATAGCGATTCCAGGCTGTGACCTTTTAGAAGCAGGTCACCAGGCCTTTCTTCCAAGGTGCCTCTGGGTGGGTTCAAACCACCAATCTTTGAGCCAGTAGTTGAATGCTTGACTGCTTGTGCCACAAATACTTTTTGGAACCAAACTTAGAGACTTCCAGTGCCGAGTAGACACAGTTGACCCTGTTGGGCTCCTCTTTTGTCCACTCCCTGGGACCGTCCTCATGGGCCACTGTTGTCCAGGGGCTGACAAGCAGGGACCAGGGGCTGCCATGAGACGGCAGCAGGGGCCATGGAATCAGCCACTCAGGGTCTGAGTACAGCTGCTGCCATGCAACCTGGCTGAGAAATGAGAGTGAAAGTCTGTGAAATGAGAGTGTGGTGTCTGCTTGGGGGTTGCTGTGCAGATGGGGAAGACCTTCCCCCATGTACATGTCGTAAGTGTGCACACTTATGTAGTAGCAGCTGTGTGAGCTGGGAAAGAGCCCCCCATGTACATGTCATTCTGCACTTGAAGCTGTAAGTGTGTACACTCATGCAGTAGCTGCTGACTGGCCCGGGAAAGACCCCCCATGAACATGTCATTCTGCACATAGAGCCGTAAGTGTGAACACTCGTGTAGTAGCTGCTGAGTGGGCTGGGAAACACCTCCATGTGCATGTCATTCTGCACATAGAGCTGTAAACACGTACATGTGTGTAGTAGCTGCTGTGCAGATGGGGAAAGATACCCCATGTACATGTTGGTCTGCATATCAAGCTGTAAGTGTGCAGGCGTGTACATACCAAGTCCCCAGTCACTCCTAACCCCTGTGAGCATGGTACCTGGTACTTGGCCCAGCTGAACACCAGGGTGTTCCGACAGTGGCGTCTTGGGCCAGACAGCCTGGCCTGGGTCCCAACTCTGCCACCCATGGCTGTTACACGGGGTGGTGTCACTGGAGCCCCTGCATGGGCTCATTCTGTGGATGAGGTGAGCTTGCTGAGGGGAGGGCCTGGCTCGAGGGGCACCACACAGCAGCAGGGCCCTGCAGCTGTCCTATCTGTAGCCCTCCTTACAGGGCAGGGCAGTGGTTGGAGCTGGCTTCGCCAGAGTTGCTGCCACCTCCAGACCTCCAGCTGGAAACAGCCGACTCCCTGGGCTTCTCATACATCCAGTGACATTTGAGGCTGGCATGGTTGTTCTGTTGTGATGTCCAGTGGGGCAGCACAGTGGCCTCTCCCTCTGCCAGGTGGGCAGGCAGACACCCCCACTCTCCCATTGCAGCAGCTGTGGAAGAGAAAGGCTGTGTGTCCCTGGGCTCCCCTCCTCCAGCCCCACTCCTGGTGGACTGGGCAGTGGGACAGGGAAACCACTGGCCACCTGTCCTCAAATGGGACGCTTCACCTTCAAAGCCTTCATGCCCTGCAAGGTGGCTGGGAGGGCCGAGGGAAGCACCTGGCCGTGTCTCAGGGCTCTGCGGTATGGGTGACTATCTATGGCCTCACTCCATGTGGTGCTGTGCCTTGCCAGCCCAAGTGTCCAGGAGATGCCCGGCC